ACCTTCGCTACGTGGGTTCAAGGTGCCACCATTCGACGGGACTTCTTCCTGGTCAGCCTACAAAATCCAGTTCGAGGCTGTTATGAAGGCGAACGGCTGGAATAAAAGCCAGGCCATGACTGCTCTCACACTAGGCCTGCGCAACCAGGCCTTAACAGTTCTGGAAGCTCTCGGTGAGGAAGTGACTTATGAGCAACTCCTTGAGGCATTGGAGGCGAGATATGGCGACGCTCACCTGGAACACGTCTTTCGTGCGCAGCTTAAAGATCGTGTGCAGCGCATCAACGAAAACCTGCAGCAGTGGGCTCTAGAAGTGGAGAAGCTGGTGCGAAAAGCATACCGGTCTGTACCTGCGCTCATTGAAGGGAACCTGGTGCAGACATTCATCGACGGCATCCGCGACCTGGAAGTCAGAGCTGCTGTGAGGCTCGGACACCACGAGACGCTTAAGGACGCCTTGGCCCATGCACTGGAAGTGGAAGCCGTGCGGCAGGATCATCGTTCCCATCGCGTCAGGGAGGTTGCAGCAGCTACAGTTCGCGACCGCAACAAAGGATACAGCCCAAGGTGCTATGGCTGTGGGGAAAAGGGCCATCTTCGATCCAGCTGCCCTAAGCGAACCCTAGAAAGGGAAATTGAACGATCTCAGGAGGGTAGTGCGGCCAACAGCACCGCCCAGCAGCGGCAGGGAAACGAGTAAAAGCCAGAACTGCGGGGCGGGTGCTGGCTGATGTTAAAAGAGCCCCAAGGATCTCGATCTCACAAACCCATGATGGGAACAGCCTAATCATAAAGGGCGAGATCAACGGAATGCCGTGTAAGCTGACCATAGACACTGGAGCCTCTCGTACGGTTGTTAGTTCCCAACTTATAAGTCAGTTCCTTGGGGACTCCGCATACAACCGAGAACGCATTAATTTGGTAACAGCCACCGGTCAGCGTATACCCGTCCGTGGAGAGAAGGAGATGGAGTTGAAGCTAGGCAACGTGATCTACCTGCATAATGTCATCGTGGCTGATATAATGGACGACTGCATCCTAGGCCTAGACTTTATGAGGAATAATTGTTGTGAGATCGACGTTAAGCAAGGTGTTTTGAAATGTGGACAGGAGGAACTTTTTATGGAAGGTGCGTTACCAGGGAACGTGTACAGCATCAAGAAGATTGTTCTTCCGCCGAGATCGGAAACGATTGTTCCGGTTAGTCTTCCTCGAAACGCTGGGCAAGCTCACCGTTGTGTACTTGTGGAAAGGGTAAACAATGACCTTCCATGGAAAGTAGCTCGAACCTTGGTCAGGACCACTGACATCTCAGGAGTACGTGTGCTGAACCTTTGCGACCGGGAACAGATTATAGAAAAAGGCACACTGGTTGGTACTTGTGAGGAAGTGGATTGGTTACGTCAGTGCCAATATATATCGAGTGGGACCCCCAGCAGGGATTCAGAAACGAGAGTGACCACACTTTTGGAAGACTGTCGCAGTGTTCTGTCCCCGAACGAATTGGTCAAGGCGAAGAAGTTGTTACTCGAGTACGCCGATGTATTCTCATCAAACGATGCTGACATAGGAAAGACTGGTTTAGTTCAACACAAAATAAACACAGGTGAAGAGTTGCCTATCCGTCAGCGGCCAAGACGATTGCCGGTAGCACGTGAAAAGGAAGTGGAAACCATGATTAAGGGAATGGTGAAGGATGGTGTTATTGAACCTTCATCTAGTCCATGGTGTTCACCCGTGGTACTGGTAAAGAAGAAGGACGGCAGCTTGCGGTTTTGTGTTGACTACCGCCGTCTGAACGACGTCACTAAGAAGGATAGCTATCCCTTGCCAAGAATTGACGACACGCTGGACATGCTTACAGGTGTAAAGTGGTTTAGCACGCTGGATCTAAAAAGTAGCTACTGGCAAGTTGAAATTGACCCTAAGGACAAGGAGAAAACTGCGTTCTCGACGGGAAAGGGTCTGTGGCAATTTAAAGTAATGCCGTTTGGGTTGTGCAATGCTCCAGCAACGTTTGAAAGGCTGATGGAACTTGTACTGATCGGGCTAATTGGCGACGCCTGTCTGGTCTACTTGGATGACATCATCATCGTGGGCCGTACGTTTGAGGAACACCTTCAAAACTTGGAACGCGTGCCCATGAAGATTAAGAGTGCCAACCTCAAGTTGAGTCCGAAGAAATGTTCACTATTCAAACGGCAAGTCAACTTTTTGGGGTATGTAGTGTCGGAAGAAGGTATCCGCACGGATCCAGAGAAAATCGCAGCTGTAAAGGATTGGCCGGTTCCAAAAGACAAGACGCAGATTAGAGCATTTTTGGGTTTGTGCTCCTACTACCGACGTTTTGTGAAGAACTTTGCAGATATAGCCAAACCTCTGCATAAGCTAACCGAGGAGAAGCGACATTTCTGCTGGGATGAAAGTTGTAATATCGCATTCCAGGAGCTCAAGGACCGTCTGTGCAAAACACCTATTTTGGGATACCCTGATGCAAGCAAAGAATTTATAGTTGACACAGACGCAAGTGATATAGGACTTGGCGGTGTGTTGTCTCAACGGAATGGTGACCAAGAGGTCGTGATAGCGTACTTCAGCAAGTCGTTGTCAAAACCGGAAAGGGACTATTGTGTCACAAGACGCGAATTGCTAGCTGTGGTAAAGTCGTTGCAGCATTTTAGCAAATATCTTCTGGGGCGAAAATTTCACTTACGAACTGACCATGCTGCACTAAAATGGCTATTACAGTTTAAAAATCCAGAAGGACAAGTTGCGAGGTGGATTGAACTACTACAGGAATACGACTTTGAGATCGAACATCGCAGCGGGAAATCTCATGGCAACGCAGATGCATTATCACGAAGACCTTGTCCTGAGGATTGCAAACATTGTACTAGGCAAGAGAGTAAGGAAGTGGTATCCGTGAGGATGCTCAGGGCAGACCACCTCAGCAACGAGTGGAAGGACAGCTTTCAACGTGCACAGCAGGAAGATCCGGACATCAAGCCGATCCTGGAATGGATGAAGGCCAGTGCTCCCAAGCCTAAGTGGAGCGACGTCTCAGCAATGAGTTCAACCACTAAAAGCTATTGGGCCCAGTGGGACAGCTTGCTGCTTCAGGATGGAGTTCTGTGCCGTAAATGGGAAAATGTTCGGGGAGACAGCTGTCATTTACAAATGGTTGTCCCTAAAACTAAAGTACCGGATGTTCTACAGCTGTACCATAATGATTATTCAGGAGGCCATCTGGGAGTTAAACGAACTCTACTGAAGATCCGAGAACGGTTTTACTGGGTCCACTGTCGAAACGATGTCGAGGACTGGTGTTGCAAATGTACAAGTTGTGCGGCTGTAAAGGGACCTCAGACTCGTAGTAGAGGTGCATTGAAGTTGTACAATGTGGGTGCACCATGGGAGAGAATAGCCATTGACGTGGCGGGGCCGTTTCCGGAGAGTGAAAGCGGTAACAAGTATTTCATGGTTGTGATGGATTACTTCACTAAGTGGCCAGAAGTCTTCGCCATTCCAAATCAAGAAGCTTCAACAGTTGCAGATAAACTAGTTCATGAAGTCTTCTGTCGTTTTGGAGTACCTTTAGAGATTCACAGCGATCAAGGAAGGAATTTTGAGTCTCAGATATTCCAGGAAACTTGCCGAGTTATGGGTACTCATAAAACAAGAACGACTTCTTATCACCCGCAATCTGATGGAATGGTAGAACGATTTAATCAGACATTGGAGAGGTACCTAGCAAAAATTGTAGACAATCGGCAACGAGATTGGGACAAGCACATACAACCGTTTTTGTTGTCATATCGAAGCGCTGTTCACGAAAGTACAGCAGTGACACCAGCTTTCGCAAACTTTGGAAGAGAATTACGGCTGCCTGCGGACCTGATCACCGGTATACCACCTGATGCCCCACGCAGTATAACCGATTATGCAAATGACTTGCGGAACAAAATGAACGACATTTATGAGCACGTCAGCCAATCGGGCCAGCAAATGTCTGAGAAAATGAAAACCCGGTACGACCGCAAAATCAACAATAAAGGGTTCAACGAACGTTCATTAGTGTGGTTGCACAATCCAGTCCGCAGCAAAGGGAAATCTCCTAAGCTTCAAGCTAAATGGGACGGCCCGTACCGGATTGTAACCAGGATCAACGATGTGACCTACCGGATACAGAAAGGCGCAAGAGGGACTCCTAAGATCGTCCATGTGGATTGCTTGGCGCGTTATTATGGGACCGATAATGCTCGGGACGAGCATGTCTTAGGAGGGGGCAGTGTTGCGTGAATAAGTCAAATAGCGTCATCTAGTGTCAGGAACGAGAGCGAGGGGAGCATTGAGAAAATGACATCACAAATGTTTCAACCGACAGCGCCTAGTCGAAACTCGAACGCTCGGTACCTTGCGCGTGTTTACTTGAACATTCTGGATATTTCTTTGCTAATTTAAATAAATAGGTGCTGCAAGATGCGATCGCAGTAGAGTTGAACTCAGCGACACAAGCGAAGCTTCGGAGCGGAATTAAGTGAATTAGTGTGTTTAATTATTAGTGTTTTTAGTTTTAATTTGCGTAAAGTAAATTAAAGTGTTAATTTAGGTAATTTTATCGGCAATTTTTATTGTCACGAACCTTAAGCTCGTAACAATATTATGTTGAAAATAATACTACAGACAAGAAAATTAAATAATTAATAATTAAAGCAAAAATTGTACTACTTAAGAGTACATGACTGAAAATAAGCAATAGCCCCTGGGAATAAGGTAATCTGAAGATATACCTGGCGAGTTATATAAACAGTCAATTTTGGCCAACGTACTTACTACAATCAAAATGCGGACGTGCTTAAGGCTAGTTTAAGAGTAGTTTTAATCAATGTAAAGGAGGATAATAAGAGCAGATGAAAAGCGGAAGAGGGAAGATCATATATTCTGTAAATTTTGATCTCCAACTATGGGGAATAGATAAGATAATATATATTCAAACTCACAGGCGCTGAATCCACGTCAGCAAATATTGGAACACCAGTTATGTTTTCTGAATCCGAACTATTACTCGTGCTCCAGACTTGTTCCGGAAATTCTTGAATCAGGAACGTCTGAAACTAAAATTGCACTTCGTATATAGTTTATTCTCCACCTCTCAAATATTGAAATAAAAATCAGGCTAAAGGCTAAAATCTACCTCCTTTTACGCGACAAAAAAAAAACAAGTAAAAACAACCGCAATTTGTATACAATGAAGTTCGCCACATTATGATCTTGTCTTTGTCTTTGTAGATAAAATCTATGTTTTTCAAAGATTAGAATAGAAACGAACAGCGTTTACTTTTTAATTTAATAGCGGGTTGTCATTACTTGCCAATTGAACACACGGCGGCGTTAGCTGTCAGGACGGCATGCATTATCTGTCAACCTTATTGGGTTGACATGACACTTTAAGGGATGTAATATACATATGAAATATAAATTTCTCTTTCTCCCAGTCATTTGGCAGATTTCACATGTCTTCGAATTAAAATCTTGAATGTTCATTTATGAACTAGTGTCACCTTTAACTCCTCCCAGAAATGAGAGGAGGCCTGTGTCCAACATTTATAGTATGTAACTTTTACTAGTTTCTTAGAATAAGGGTAACAAATGAGCAAACGGTCTATCTGATGGTAAGTGCATGTTGTAACCCATAGACATCTACATTTATCCACGATTCATAATCAGAATGCAGATGCGTTGTCACCCCTGAGGGCTAAGATGGAATGCCTCGTATCCAGTAGAAGGGGTCTCCGGTTCTCTATACTCACCATATAAAACACAGTATCATTAAGCTGCTATTTTACGTGGTCCTACCCCGGTCGAACCGACCCATTGTGTGCTACAACCATAATATAGCAGCAACGTAGCTCTACCACGTAAAACTACAGCACTGGCTTGTCTTCCTTACTTTTGTATCGCATCTTCCTTCCAATAATTAACCTTATAGCGCCATCTGTTGGCCTACAACAGCTGTAAGAGAAGACGACGCGATCGATATCCACATGTAAAGAAAAGTCAAGGCTGCACCGATAGTGACTGTTCTTGTCTCACCTTCCAATAGAAAATCAATATAATTGAGCGTTAGTTAGTGTGTCCGGTCAACCAAGCTGTCTGCATAGATTATAAAATCACGTAGGAATATAGTCAAGAAAAACCGAAGCCTTTCACATCCGAATATATCGTTGAAGACAAGTTGAAGCTAATCGTCACTGACGCTAACCGTGAGTTTTACCTGCTTTATTTACCCTTCCTGATGGGCCATACTAATTTTTTCTCACTGTAGATAAATTAAGCAATTCCAAATAAGGTTCTAATTATTTTCATTTCAAGTAGAAGTGTCGCGATTACTACAAAAACTGAGTTCAATTTGTGCAATTTTTTACTTACCATGTTAATAACCGCACAAGATCCTATCAGAAGTATTGTCACTAGAAACATGGTTAACCTGATGTAACAGTTATGGGCTACTACCTGAAATATACAAATTTTTCTTGATAAACTAATTTTTATATATTTACAATAGCGTTGTAAATTTAGTGACTTAAATAATTAAAGCATGTTCATATCCTTATCAACTACGCATTTGGTGACTAATTTGAAATTCGGTTATTATTGGTTATTATTTAAATATGTACACAATTAAAAAGGTTTTTAAAGGTGACTTAGCGAAGTGAGGAGTGGCTCCACAATAGATTGAGTGACGACATGGTAAGAAATGCAAGTTGATGGATGCAGAAGTTTTAAGGCATTGCTTGGGGAGGCGTATATTCAGCTGTTGACTTGTGAAAGGTTGTGAATTGTGATGATGATGATGAAAATAATGATGGTGATGATAATTATAATTACAACGATGATAGCGATAATGTTAGCATAATCAGGTATGCATTATGCAAGTAATCGAATCAAATATATGTTAACGTACACACACACGCACTGATTTGGTCCTCAGGTGTCGTAGGAGTAACGTGACATGAAAATAATGAAGTTCTATAATAGTATGACGGCCATATCATAAACGGACGAATAATTTAAAAATTTTGTATCCGCTTTGACAAGGGAATTAAATATTTTTATTAACAAGGAAGGGTGACAAGCAGGCTCACAGTACATCTGATGGTAATTTAGTATTGTGACCCGTAGACATCACATCTTTTCTCGAATGCAAATACGCAGTGAGACTTTAGACTTAGCTAAGATGCCAGGCTACCCTTAAAAAGAGTCCGGTACTCAAACGTTAAACGTAAATAAATTATTTTAGTTTATAAGACTACTTTCGAATATCAAATGGGCGAGAGAAAGTGATAATTTAAAATATTAATATTAATAAAATATAAAATTATTTCTTGTAAATAAAATAAACAGACCAATAACAAATTTTAGAACATACCTGTCCAGGCTTGTAACAGTTGTCAGCGTAGTCATCAGCTAAGCGAGGCACATCGGACAGTAAGCTCAAATCTCGCACAGGCAATCGGCCATCACACCAAGATAAATACATAAACACCAAAAGCGTCAGGAATGTGGGACCAAAAGACGCGTATAATACTATACTTCTGTAACCAATTGCCAAATTGCAAGTTTTTTTATTGTAATTCAAGCTATAATGGCCGTAAAAATTATTCAGTGACTTGAATACTCGCACATTATTGGAGAAACATAAACAAAATAACCCCATAATCGTTATAATTATAAATAAAAATGGGGTCTAGATCTTTCTCTCAAAGCTATGATCCAAAATAGACGCTTTTGTCAGCATTGCACTTTAATTATAATGTTGAAGACAATGTTGAAATACAATTAATTAGCCAATAACTAATGCAGTAAAATTAACTTTATTGTATCCTGCTAAGTTTTACCAGATGTAAAAGTGTTCATAAATTTTTCATTAATAGAATTTTCGTTCAGTTAGTTTAGTGACTAGAAACTTTACTGTATTTTTGTAAATTCTGAGTAGTTTACACAAAAAAGCTACACGTTTTCGCCATTCAATTCGACTTTTAAAAACTTTCGGTAAACATACTTACTTGGGAACGGTCAGTAGTTGTATAAATGTCAACAACGTAAATAAGGCGCCAGCACAAGCTACGTTGTACTTGAATTGAGCATCGCTCTGATCACGATACTGTCTTTCCTGGTCACTGTTCTTAAACCATAATGTAATTCGGTTCATGCCTTCGGAACTGTTCCCACAGTCGCAGCAAGTCCGCTGTGGCAGGAGATTTTGCTCTATCATTGCGAGGCTCTGGAAGGATTTTGTTCGATTCGTTAATGTTTGCTTTAATATAAACTTTAACATTAAACTAATAATTTACGCTAAATATTTTTGCTTCTTTCGCAGTAATATTCCTTGTCCTTATATCGGTAGTATGGATTGTCGATACTCTAGAAGCTAAACAACTTATCAACTTTCAACTTTTTTCGCCTATTTTACACAATTATAATTAAAGCAGCTAAAAGTTTATCTAATAAAATACAGCCTTATACCATTATTATATAAGAATAAATTAGTTATATAAATAGGGTATATGATACATATGTATATGATACATTCATTCATTAATTGTTTGACTATCTCGTTGGTTAGTGATCGTTAACGCAGCTGCTAATCATACAAATACCGGATCGATCTAAAAACCAGTTATGACATATCCGTTAAGAAATTCTCAGTAGCATCCTGGAGTCAGGAAGTTGGTGTTGTTTCACCCCCAAAAACAAAAGCACGTAAAAGAGCTGGCCTAGCACTTGACATCTCTCCAGTCGTGTTGGATTTTTGTCCCATCGGGTAATGAGAATTAGGGGGACAGAGAGTGCACCTATGCCTTTGCATACACTCTTGCAGTATAATCCTATCTTGCGCAGATGGCTCCCTTGAGATTGACCAACGATTAAAGACAAATAGTCCTAAAAAAGCGTCATAAAAATTTCCCCAATGGAACATTAGTAAAACACCTATCGACAATCAGTGAAATAGAAATCGAACTAGGTAAACTGCGATTTCATTTTTTGGTATCCGAAGAAAAAAAGCCTTTAAATTAATTTTTGTCTTTAAGTTTTCTTTGTGTTTAAGTCTATTTACAACATACTCACCGATATGCCTATATTCTTAGCTAAAGTTGAATCTGTTATATTTGCAAAGGGTTTGTCTGCACCCCAGCATTCTACGTATTTTGTCATCTTACTGGATGGACGAGATCTTGTTGGTACGCCCGGTGTAGCTAAAACAAGAACCACGAGTAATGAATTTTTGGAATGAAGTGTTATTAACACTCGCTATTTCTAAACGGTAAAATTATAACAACAAAAATGGTATGATGAATCTGTAGGTGAGTAGTCTTGTACTATCTAAATAAAATATAAAATTTATTCGCACCATTATATTGGAGTTTAGAAATACACTAAAAAATAAACGTGAATATAAAAAATTTTCGCCAAATTTTGTGAAAATTTGATGAAAAATATTCATATATCTGATAAATGTACAACATGTTTTTGTGCTTATGAAACATAGCAGGATGATTGTATAAAGTGTCATAAGTTGATTTAAAAATGAAAAAAAACCTGTAAGTCACACTAATTCAAATTGTTCATACTGTGTACACTGTCTTAAATGTACAAGTTAAACTCTAGACCAATAATTTATTAATATTATTCATAGATTATAAAACGATGTAAATTTACCAGTTGTCATATTAAAAAAAATTTCAAATATTACCAAATCGTTAGGTTACACTACTATTTCAATAACGCAGGAATTTATTTTTACCTCATCACCACGGAAAGAGGGTAATGTTTTTCGAGTGCACATACATGAATATATATGTAAGTGTGTATATATTATGTATGTACATTTCTTTTACAAGCTTTGTAGCCTTAACGCCTTTTAGGGTGTTGTCAAATTTGTCGAAGTTGTGGCTGTGATATAAGGTATATGAATAAAACTATAGACTTACTTTGTATGGGGGTGGGAGGGGGATGGGGGAGATAATGATATAGATTATATAAAGAGACATTTACAATCAAGCTTGTAAACTCTTGCATCTTCTAAAGGGACGTTACACTAGACATGTGGTAAAAATTTACTAATCTTCTTGTGCGGATTGTAGTAGATTTTATGGAAGCTAAAGCACCCAAAACGTCGGGAATTAAAAAGTTAAGTTCAGTTAGTTTTAACAGTGGTAGAGCTACGCGGCAGCTTTAGCTGTCGCACGGATGAATCGGCTCAAACCGGTGTGGTACCCGAGGTGGTAACCGGTGGCGAAGCCTCCGTAGAAGCCCAGAAGCCGGGCTTGCCCTATCAAATTGCTCAATCAATAATATCAACTAATAAAATAACTCTTAAACTATTTCAAACTATTTCAAATTTCCCGCGCGCTCCTCTGTTCTACACAGGTCATGACCTCGTAGCACATATGTAACGTCAACACTTGGCAGTTTGCTTTCAATTCGAAATACACTGATTCGTGTTCTCGCTGTCTCAAAGCGAACACGCAATGGACTGGGAAAATAATGAAAAGAAAAATAATGAAAGCAAGGATTTGATTTAGTCGTTTCTCTGGCACGCGTTGGATTTTTACCGGGCTTTCGAGAAGACGATCGCTCCCTTTCTAACCTGTGGCAAAATGTTCTATATGAAATATAACTACGAAATGTTTATATAGCAATTACTATGGAACCAAAAGGTGGGTTTTGCTCTGAAGTTTTTTAGGAGCGCGCGGGCATTCGGGCGATACGTTTGCAAGTTCACTTCAAATTTCTCAATGTTTATGTTTGTTTTTGTTATGTTTGTTGAAAATTTATGATTTTTCAAAGATATTTAGTGCAAATGGAAGGATAATAGTGTTCTTTGTGATGAATTGAAGTATGTTAAAGTGCTAGTCGGTGAGGAAAAGTTAAAATCTTTAAAAATGAAATTCCAATTCAATAAATATTACTTCATACTTTAATCGGTACAGGACTCTTTAGTATTAAAGTTTAATTAAGCTAGGCGTATTTAAAGGTTCAATAAATCAATATTTATATTATCATATCAAATAAAAATATCGTTTTGAACGGCAACATAAAATAGAGTAGAGATAGGTATAAGTTTAATTTTATAGCAATTAATTGTTACAATCTTTTTTTTTAATATGAGGCCTAAATTTTAATGTAATAAATCGAAAGAATACATGTATTGAAGTTTTTAAAGAATATTTCCCTTAGTCCTTCAGTATATAAAATTTTAATAGCACCATCTACTTAATTCTATAGGTGAAGTCATTTTATAGAAATTGATTGACTCTCACGATGGTACGTAAAGAATAAGCTAGATGGCACAAACACGCTATCGGCTAATTTAATATTTCAATATGTATATTACCATATTAGTTTAAAATATCATTTTGTACGGTTTATTAAAATTGTAAATGAATAATTATATAATAAACAGTCATTATTTTATGGATGGATATGGATGGTCGTAATATGTTGTTCTATGTATATAACGTAAACAAAATAATTTCGATGTTTCACATCTGACAGGCGTCCCTTTTTTAAATTCGTATATTGTTTTTACTTTGTTCATGTATTGTATTGTATGTAAATATCTTTTTCTTTCGCTCAAGCAAACCCAAACGGCTCTTTTAAAAGCCACCGATGGTATGCAATTGCTGATATGTCATACAATCTATCTAGCGGTAGTATACCTTCTGTGTGCTTTGTTAAACACGTCCTTGACAGCACTGAATATGAAATTGAAGAGTGGAGAGATATCGAGATTGGTGATTTTTATAAAACTGCTAAAAGCAACAAAACCATATCTTGGGCTTGCTCTACTCGTAATTGGGAGCCCTAGCTTCGCCACCGGTGGCAACCTCACAGAATACCTCACAGATTTACCTCTGTTGAATAAAACTATTATTTATGGATTTTATCGCGTTAATTACTACTTACTTATTTTTATTATCGCGACGTTTCGGGTGCTTTAGAGCACTCATGATCACGGGGGGAACTCTTTACGTCTATGTTTCGCTTGGTGAGTCCAGGTGGCCGGAGGCCCAAATTCCCCCCTCCTCCCTTGCTTAACATGGTAGCCGAATCAAGTGAAGTACTACCCCAGAAGGGTATCAGCACCCCTGGTGACGCCCCCTCAGCAATGTATTCTCCACTCTCTGACCTCTCATCCGGTAGGATATCAGGTTTCCGTTGACGCCCCTCTACACTGGTTGGACCATTCTTTTGTCCGGAGTGTGGTACCAGTCACGTTAACGTTGCGGTTGCATTCTGCAGGCTACCGCCGTGTTTGGCACTATGTCCAAGGAAACTTCTTTCAGCCATCTCTGCCATCTCTGTACAGAGAGGACGACTCACTGGCCCATGCTGCAAAGGAGAAAGCCGATCTCTTAGGGTCTCTCTTTGCGTCCAACTCAACTCTCAATGACGGGCGATCACACCGCAAACCATCTCACGGTGTGAGTGCTCCATACTTAATGTGCGGTTTACACAACGCTCGATTCACAAAGCATTCTTCTCCCTGGACGTCAGCAAGTCGAGTCGGCTTGTTGGAGTCCCTCCCATTGTACCGAAGGCGTGTGCTCCGGAGTCGGCACCGGTTTTAACGCATCTTTTCCAGTACTCCTACTCCAAAAGCGGAAGACAGCCTTGGTACACCCGATCTCTAAAAAAGTGAACTCTCAGACCCGTCCAGCTCAAGCCTATCGCAATCACCTCCACGTTAATGGAGGTGATGGCGACAGGGGATAGGACTCCAAAATAATGGAGTCCATTGGAGTCCAAGTGCAAGCTCATGTGGTACCTTCAGGATCACCAACTGATTAGTGAACGCCAGTACGGTTTTCGCCGTGGTCGATCAGCTGGTGATCTTCTGGTCTACCTGACTCATAGATAGGCGGAAGTAGTAGAGTCCAAGAGGGAGGCATTGGCCGTTAGTTTGGACATAGCGACGGCATTCGATCTGGTCTGGCACAAAGCGCTTCTTTCGCAGCCTACTTCCTATGGGCTTCCCGAGAAATCGTGTGATTGGATCATTAGTTTTCTTGCTAATCGAAACAGTAACATCATAGTAGACGGTGCATGCTCTTGTTACAAGCCTATTAACGCTGCGTGCTATCACCAACGCTGTTTTTTCTGCATATCAATGATATGTTGCAAACTGGTAACATTTATTGCTATGCAGACGACAGCACTAGTGATGCCTTATACACCGGCCGTACCAATATTTATTGGGAAAACGTAGTCGAGTACCGGGACAAACTTGTTTCTGAAGTCGACTCTTTGCTTAACAAAGTCCAAAAGACAGAAATTTGCGCGATAACCGGTAAAACGAGCCCTTTTGTCGTATTTCCTCAGTTTGAAGGCACTTCCCCTGCTGCCTCAGGTAGCATCGGGATCCCCGGCATCGACATATCGAACAGTGTGCAGCTTCGTAGTCACTTGGAGGGGAAGCCAAAATTGGACTCTAAAAAGTTAGTCCGATGCTCAGGGACCTTCAAGAAAAGAACTTACTCCTTTTTAAAAGGCTGGCAACGCATCTGTAATTCCCCTGGTGTTATGGTTGTTCATGAGCAGCGGTAGTCACTTACCATCAGGTGAGCCCAATGGTCGTTTTCCACCTTTTCTATAAAATAAAAAAAAAGTTAAAATTAAAGGAAGCGACAAAATCCGTACAATTAGATTCTTTCAATGTGTAGTAATCGCGTAAGTAGAAGAAATAATTATTAATTCTTTTTTATTATGAACAGTGTACACAGTTTGAATTGCTATTTCACTTACACCCAAAAAAACTAACTTTGGGACTCTATTGATATTGTACTTATCATCCTATAAAATAAAGTGGGCCTCGCAGATTCCACCTCTTGTTGCAATTGTGTATCACATTCTGGAGAAAGAAATTATGAATAAACTATTAACAACTAAAGTTTTGTACCAAATCAGTTATGAAGGTTTTTAATTCCTATTTCAATAAAAAACAGTAAAATAAAGTTGATTTTAATTCGTGCTTGGCGGTGAAAGAAAATGTCGTGGGGAAACTTGCATTCATAAAAATTCAAAGAGATTCAAAAAGATTCAAAGAGAGAAGGCAAAGAGTATTGCGAAGGCATAAGAAGGAAGAGCACATTTCCTTGCACCAAAAACCCTCTCAGAATTCAGAAGCAGCCTGCGTAAAGCGGAAAACTCATAGATCGAATTGGCGATATATAGAAGAAGGTTTATACGTGGTAGAGCCATGCTGAAGTTAAATTAGTAGTATTGGTCGGCTCGACCGGGGAAGGACTACGCTCTCACAGGATACCAGCGTCAAATAGCAGCTTAACGCTCTTTTTTTCTGAAAACGAGGGTTTCATCGTAATCCTCAAGGGTGACATCGCATGTACATTTCGATTCGCAATTGAGGATAGATGTAGATGTCTATGGGTCACAGCATACACTTACCATCGGGTGGACTGTGTGCTCGTTTTTCATTCTGTCCTATAAAAAATGACCAAATTATACACAACCTTAATCGACCAACACGATTGTCAATAAATACTCGTAGATGGATGCGAAAAAAGGGACAAAGGTGTTTCTAGATTGTGCCTAATTGAAACCCGTAGAATCTCCCTAACCTAGGTGACACACGTAAGAGTTTTTATACTCATATGTACATTTTTATATAGAATCAGGGTGACGGGTTTCAGACGGTAAGAAACGTTACCCAGTATATACTTTTATAAGTAAAATACTAATGTTATAATTATTACTAAAAATAAGTAAAAAAACTACATCTACATCTTTTTTATACTTACAGGATATGGGTAATAAATGAGCACATTATCCACCTGATGGTAAGTAGTTGCTGCGGTCCATAGACATCTAAATCTATCCCCGATTAAGAATCAAAATGCAGATGTGTTGCCACCTCTGAGGACTAAGACGGAATATCTTGTTTGTAATATAAATGTCTCCGGTTTTCTACACCCACCACCGTATGAAACACAGCACAATGAAGCTTCTATTTTTACGCTGTTATTATGTAAGAGCGTGGTTCTTCCGCTTGGACCCCGGTCGAGCCACCCGATTCGTGCTACAGCCAAAATATAGCAGTAGTGTGGATCTTCCACGTATAAAATATAAACTTGTGTACATTATGTATTAAACAGTCTTATAATACAAGGGAAACGTGATAATCCTTTTAAATATAATCAGATATTGGTTATAAATTTTACTATATGTATCATACTTTTAAATCTTACCTGTGCCCATGCTAGGGCTTATAGCTCCAATGATAGAACCACTTCGACTCTTTGGCTTGGTGCTTACCACCACTCCATTGTTATGTCCTTCCCCTGGATTTGCACTGTTACTGTTTTCGAACGCCACAATTTTTGGTCCCTCCACTTTAATGGAAGCTCTTCTGCTTACATCTGAAATAAATATTAACTACTCTCACTACTTATGACGGGTGGTTGCGACGCAGAACTCCTCTACCACATATCATCCCGTGGGTCGTAAGAGGCAACGAAATGATCAGAAGACAGGCAGCACCATCTTCACAATAAAAACTCAAAGTGGTGTAAATCTGCGGTTGCAAGCCAAGCGTGGAAAATATAGCAAATATTTTCCATGCTTGGAAACCCCTACTATTAAACTTATGGGGTATACCTACGTACATCATTGGACTTTTAGAAGTACATATAACAGCCTTATAAAACAACACAGGCCTGTTCTCATTGGTTGGTTAACAACGTGGTCTTCCACGCTGCTCCTGTGTTTGCTGGCAGATGATTTTAGAGTACAGGTGTTTTTTTTAATCATTCAAAGCCAGTGCTTGTCTACTATCCCACCTGACTGTAAGTGGTAATACTGCCGATGATGGTGAAGTGCACTGACTTACTGATTTACTGGTTGACATTTACCATAGGATTCCTTTTTTATATGGTTCATAAAAGATAGCTTGATCTCTGCGACAGCTGTCAGTAAAAATCACGCCTATGAAGTCCTGAATTTCTTAGTAGTACAGCAAGTACCTGTCAATGTCATATTTAATGGGCATGCACTTATTAGGTCGGCATGCCCATAAAGTATGACATTGACAGGTACTGTCTGTACTACTAAGAAATTCAGGACTTCATAGGCGTGATTTTACTGACAGCTGTCGCAGAGATCAAGCTATCTTTTATGAACTATAGAAGTATATCTGGGTAGGTTTTTTTTTAGAATAAGGGTGACAAACGAGCACACAGTCCACCTGATAGTAAATGTATGTTGTGCCCCATAGACATATACATTTATCCTCGATTAAGAATCAAAACGCAGTTGTCTCCCCTGAGGACTAAGATGGAATGCCTCGTTTCCAGTAAAAAAGGATCTCCGGATCTCTTCACTCACCATACAAAACACATCAGTATTATGCTGCTATTTTACGCTGGTATTCTGTGAGAGCGTGGTCTTTCCTCTGTCGAGCCGACCCATTCGTGCTACAACCATAATATGGCTGCAGCGTGGCTCTACCACGTATAAGATACCACGCTCTTACCTATTTCTGTCGCCAAATAACAGAGCTCGCACTACTGTGTTCCGTTCCGACGGGTATAGAAAGCCATTGTGGCGACGCTGTCGTCGCGTCACAAGCGACACTCATCGAAGTCTAAATCGCGCTATTAAAGTTCAAAAGTAAAACAGTATACATAGAATAGATACGAACGCTCCGAATAGCTCCGCTCGGGGCGTTGGCCGCTCTCCTTGCCCGGCAGGAGATTTCCCCTTTTCCTTCCACGGCCACAACATTATAAATGCTGGCCTTGAAATATTTCACCTTAACCCACAGTGATAACAAAGCATCTGTAGCCATTTTTGTTCGAAGTTGGCCGCACATGTCCATGTCCTGGAGTAGCCGCTTACCATCAGGTGGAAGTTTGTTTGATTATTTATAAAAAAAAAACTGCTTGCATAATTACCTCCGGGATTGCGTAGTGATTCAGTTCTCAAGACTTTTGTAGTTTCTTGCTCTACAAAGCTGTGCTGTGACGGTGCTGGACTCACGTTGTCTCTTGTTTTAGTTGGCGATACATCTTGGAACAATGATGAAACGATACTTCCTTTCCGGTCAATGGTACAAACAGAAAGACGACCATTTTCTGATATTCCTGAAGGTTTCTGTAAACGTAATTCCATAAAAAATTAAATATGAAACAAAAACCAATAATCTAACATATTAAGATTAATGTTTATTTGTTCGTATTTTATGCGCTACCATGCCCGTCATCACATTGTGTTAAAACTTTGTCAACTTATTTCTTATTAACTTACCATTGTAGATAGCGCCAAATTTATTTGAAAGTTATAGATCGTTTTTATTATAGTATTATCATTCCTAATTAAGCAATATAACTTTTTCAAATTTAAAACGATATTTTCACATTTATTTCTTCTGCGGCAGTATTGCGCCGGGTAGCTTGTAATTATTATAATAATTTATTAAAATAGTTTTATGTGATATGATTTAACCGACTGATGAAGACACATACTTGTACTATTTAAATCGTGTTCTAGAATGATCTTACACGCTAAAATTCGAAATAACCTTATTGATAAAAATCACAAATCAAGCTATCACATTTTATTCTTATAGTATACTAAAAGTGGTAGCTTTACGAGTGTCCATTTAATAACTTCTAGGCTGACGCCATTTGGACGGGTCCAAGAAGACAAATTACTCCAAATAATCTCAGCTTGGACCGTAATATAATTTTAAGAGCAAAATGACGGACTTACTGTTAAGTATTATATTTGATATTACTGAAATACCCACGCAGCGGGAGCGACACGATTGTAAAAAGCTTTTGCAAATAATATGCCATCAAAAACATAACTTGTAAAAAAAAAACAATATCTGCCATGAGAATTATACATGTCAATAATATTATCAACCATGTATATAAATTGCAGCTTTATTGAAATAACGTAAATTATTAATAAAAATTTGTACTTTTCAATTTGTTTTTTACATCTTTAAGACCTGAGCGTCTCTATATCGACCGCCGGTCAAACTTAAGAGGCCCCATTTCATGTACCTCAGGTAAAGGGGATAAAACTGAAAAAAAACGTGAAGCTTATTGAAATACCGTAAGTCTGCCACCCACAAAACTTAAGCTATTAGTAGTATAGGGTCAGCTAGTTATGGAATATAACCATAAAAACCAAAATATAGGTACGCTTATAACCTCAATCCAACAAAGAATACTAAAAAACTCATCAGGTAAAAATACCGAAATAATCTGAGCTTACATAAAATTAACAATATAAGTCTATATAACGTATAAGTGGTTATACGTAGGTACCATCCTTCCCACCCACGTAATACATGAAGATAAAAAGCTCACATTTAATTAAAAAAAATATACGAAATCGTTGTAAGAAAATCACGTAATGTAATAAATTGTGAGATAATTTTTAGCTTACTTAATATTTTTCTTCGTGACATTGTTCACTAATTCCGACGGCAATTTTTTGATAAGCCGGTGTATTAAGTAGCTATCTGTGTGACATTTATTCCTTATTATTGCCTTGAGGTCGCTGTTTTGAATCCCGGGTCAGGCCGAAAAAATCAGTTATTGACTTTTCTGTCAAGAAATTCTCAGTAGCATGCCGGAAGCAGGTAGTTGAAAGTGTTATACCCCTTGCCTTTGTAAGCAATAAAAGATGTTGGTTCTGCGCTTAATCTCTGTGCTTTCGTATGGATTGCAGTGTCATCGGACTATGAGAGTAAGAGAAATAAGAGTGCACCTGTGCTCGCACATACACTTGGAGACTATAATTTTATCATACGCTGATGACTGGTCTCCGTTAACACCGGCCGTCGTGAAAGAAATTCGGTCTGTAGAATAATATTATTCATTTCTTAGAAGATGATATAAATATTAAGGATCCTCAATTTGTATTTTATTCAAACAAAAAAAAAACAAACGAAAATGTAAAGTAATCCAGCACCTTGGTCAAAACCTTTACAAAGTTAATCTAAATTAATTAAAACCTAAAATAACCAACGGGCTGTCATTGTAAGAACCGCAGGGAGGAACTTTTAATTCCGTAACAGAGCAGATTAGTAACGCCAGATAAAAATTTATATTATAATATGCTTATAATATTTATATGACAATGTTAGATGATAAATGAATACTTGTTTTATTGAGCTTGTATAAATTTTATTAAAATAATAAAAAGAAGTATTAAGTACCTGTATTGTTGGTCAATGATAACACTTGGAAAATATTTTAAGAACGAATGATTTGTGTCAAATATTAGAGTCATGGCTGTTGTTTTAAAATAATGATCTATTTTAATGATCTATAAATCTAATAAAATATTTGGTATATATCTTTAACCCCTCCTTTCCTAAATCCATACATATACAAATAATATAATAAATTCTTAACAGCATATGAAAATTTCCCATTTTAGTTTCCCTCTGTCGTTTCTTATGAAACCCACGGGATAATATGGGGTCTAAATTGATATATAAAGGAGGTGTTTTGTATATCAATGGGGGTCGAGAATATTCTGACGTCATCACTTCACAACAAAAAAAACAAAAATAAAGTATAATAATAAATATTATTGTTCAATAATATTTAATTAATTTGTGTAAAAATATATATTAATATTACCGATTTGAGTTTTAGATTACATAACTATTTAAATGGTAAGAATGGGTGGACTATCCTCGTCACTACCAATCCCAACAACACCACTCACAACATCACTATTCACTACGCTAGGGAAGCCACACAGACGGATCTTGTCATATTGGTGTAAGGTTAGTGTCGACGGGAATAGTGCACGTAAATGAGGGAGGGCGGAAGTTGCTCTTCAAACTAGGTGTCTTACACATCATTTTATTTTATTACGCGGATCTTAACTATATATATATATATTTTAACATCTCCAATATATTGGATTGCCGCAAAGTAACGCTTGATTTTATTAAAAATTAATAGTTTCGAAAAAGGCAAAATTTTAATTATTTTAGGATAACATATTAAAATATTAATACTTTGTTAATGACGGCTAAATATCTTCTTCATCATCTGCCCTGGTTTAATGGTCAGGCTTTTAGTATTTGAAGTTGCCATTAATACATGTTTGATGCTAGCACCAATCTCAGACTGGTTCATTCATTCATTAATCATTGTAGACTATCAAACTCCACCAATGAACATAGAACTTCCCATAATTTTTTTTATTCATGGAAAAAGGGATTTGTCGCTGTTGCGATTACGACGCCCTGGTATTCACAACAAAAATCTTAAATAGAATAAATACTAACTAATAAACTCATTAATTACTTAATCTACTCCTATTTACCAACATATAAAGTTTTTTGGGATTATCTGATAACGGGTCTGATAAAATACTTACTGCCAATCAATGACAAATGTAAATTCTTAATAAATGCATTCGATTCATTTTTAATCTTCGAAAATATGATCATGTGTCTACTTATCGCTCTCAACTTAACTGGTTGCCGATTCGTCAGCGCCGTAGTCTACGTGCACTCACTACTCTATACTCTATCTTGATGTCTCCTAATCCTCCATCTTATTTAACTCCTCATTTTCAATATCTTAGCTCAAACCATGATAGAGTTCTCCGTTCTAGTAATAACCTTTTGCTTCAGTGCTAACCTTAAGCCTTTTAGTACTAACTTTGTACAATCATCGTTCTTTTTTCAATCTGTTCTTCTTTGGAATACTCTTCCTTCCGAAATCAGGAGTGCCGAAAACCGGATTTCGTTCAAGTCTAAAGTGCGAGAACTGCTCGTCAATAAAATGGCAGAATCAACTTAGCGTTCGTAGTTAGCGTGTTTAATGTATATATATATATGTATTTAATTTTTTGTATATATTTATACGCTTATATATGTATGAGTTTATATATATGTGAATATTAATTGCTGAACATACTTCTTATTAGACTGGTAGATAATGCCTCAGGCATTAAGTCCGCCTATATACATCTAATGTGTATATGAAGTTATAAAAAAATGTAAATTCCAATATTTTATTTTCCCATAACTTTTCCCATAATTGCTTGCAGGCGGGTGGGCAACCGTAGTTTTTGTTTACTCTAGTTGTTATTAGGAAGACGGGACTGCCAAACTTCTAGTTTGTTTCACTCTGTCGCCTCCATAGAATACTATAATACACAATAGAATGGCTGTCAAACTTACTTTGTAGGAGGATTGGCGTCGCCGGAAGCACACAAGCAATTACGTCGTATTATCGGTTATCACTACTACAAACACATTTTAGACTTTTGATTAATGTTTATGACACATAAACGTTTCTTTATTTTTGTTTCTAAGATTCACAAAATGTAAATAGTTTTGACTTACTGGTTGTAGAATATGTCTCCTTTATTTAAATTCCATTTCCCACTGTTCTTTCGACAACAAATTGTGCACGTCAATTTGCCATTTTTTAAATAATTTGCGTGCAGCGACGCTTGACACGAAAATTGGAAACGATTTATTGTGTGAACATTTATACGTGTGAATTGAATTGACATATTAGTGGCTAAACGGGCTCCGCCCACTCCCCCGTTCTATTATGTATTTATTATAGTATTCTATGCTGCCACTACACGGCCATGGTATGTTCGGTTGGGGAACAAGAGTAGCGCTCCAAAAGCAAAAGCTCTCGAAAGTGTTACTGAAATACAATTTTGTTTTTAATAATAAATTGTTAATTATTAGGAGAAAAGTTGACGAAAAGTTTAACGAATAAGGAGGCTTAAACTGTTTCCAACTTATTTTTACTTAGCAAAATCAAATATTTAATCTATAGGAAAGTTTGTCAGTTTAATACTCAAGGCGTATTAATGAAAGACCTGTTTTCAAGAATTAGATAATATGAAAATTAAATTTAAAATTAAAAGGCTTTGTATAAAAATTATCTCAAACTAACTTTTATTTTAAGTATTAATACGTAAAAGGAAATTTTGTACTCCTTTTTAAAAATATTGCGGGCACAGAGGAATGTGAGATTTAGCTTAGTTACAAGTTTATATGAAGAAGGAGTGCAGAAAGCTAAAGTGTATGTACATATCTGTTACAAATACAATAAATAAAATAAAATATAACGTACGTTGTTAACGTT